GAGAATACGCACGAAGATTTCCAAACAGACGACATCCAATTCGCTCAGTATTTGTAAGAGTGCATCGCCAAATAATTGAAAATGGTTTTGGAAATCTCCAAAGGGATCAAAACATAAATGTTCGTCAGCGAGAGATAAGTGTTAGGAGAGTTTCTGGTGCCTTGGGAATTTCAGCAAGCCATGTTCACCGTGTTCTTAGAAATGACCATAGACGTCCTTACCATTTGCAACCTGTGCAAGAACTACAGCCAGGGGACGGAGAACGAAGAATCACATTTTGTCAGTCGATTCTTGATAGAACTGATAATTATAGGGAGATTTTAAGTAACGTTTTATGGACTGATGAGTCATGCTTCACTAGACGTGGAGTGGTAAATTTTCATAATCAACATATTTGGTCGCATGAAAATCCGCATGCAGTTCGGGAAAAAAATTTTCAGCATGAATTTAGTGTGAACGTATTTGGACCCTACCTTTTGCCTGCAAGGTTAAATGCTGCGACCTTCTTGGAATTTTTAAAGGCTGAACATGCAAATATGTGGGATGATGTTATGTTAGATTTAAGAAGATTGGCCTGGTTCCAGCTTGATGGTTGTCCAGCTCATTATTCGAGAATAGTTAGAAACTGGCTGGACGAAAATTATCCAGAAAGATGGATCGGCCGTGGAGGACCAGTTGCCTGGCCTCCACGATCCCCTGACCTAAATCCAGTAGATTTCTTTGTGTGGGGATTTCTAAAAGAAAAAGTGTACCAGACTCCCGTAACCACAAGAGATATGCTAATAGACAGAATCAGGAATGCATGTGATGAAATAAGGCATTATTTGAATAATGCTATACCACGTTCGATCATTCGTAGATGTGAATTGTGTATTGAACAATTGGGTTTACATTTCGAGCAACTACTTTAGATTTTGTATGTTTTTCCTAACTATCCAATAGCATTTTAGTTGTAAATAATTAATTTAATTTGTTAAAAATAATACTGGAAAATTAAACAAATAAATATTCTGTTTTTTTGTGTTTATTTGGAGTTAGGAATTATTGCTGTGTTTAAAAACACAATCTAAACGATCATCTTAATTACTTGTAATGCCCAAATCGAAAATGTAAAAAAAATATTATTTTCCCATAAATAATTAAAAATGCATCGAACCTTAAAAATCGGAATATCTCAAAAACGGCTAACTATAACGAAAACTTACAGGAGAGCTTTTTTATCTTGAAAAGTGCGAGGAATCAGTTTTTTATTCAAAAAGCAAAAAATTGCACTAAGAAAAAATTTCGGTCATTTTAATACATTACAGGTACAGTAGAGAGCGCCCTCCAGCGGCTACAGTAAAACTATGCCCATGGTTCGTTTTGTCGTACTAAAAAACCCTTGTATACCAATTTTCACTGTTATACATCAAATATTGTTCGCAATATTTAAAAAAAAACTATTTTAGAAAGTAAATTTAAACACCCTGTATTCCGGAAGCCAAAAATATCCATGTTTATATAGACTTTATGCATTAATTTTAAAAGCTCTATCGAATCTTAAAGTTATGCAACAATAAACTGAAACACCCTGTATTTCTGTTGATTTTTGGAAGCGCCTTTTCTTGGCCATTCTGTCAATGTACGGTTTCGCGGGTTTGTACTGGTAGTTCGGCCACTTTTCCGTTAAAATCGTTGTGCATTTGACTTCCCATATCTTAAACACATTCGAGATAAAATAAATATACTGAGTGATGGAAACAGTGGTAGACATTCACACGGTGAGTCAAAACGAAAAGATGTAATCTTCTCGAAAAATTTAAATGCAACATCCTGTACGTTACATCTCTATTCAACGGGTCTCTTGATGCCTTTTCAGTTTGATTAAACATTCCCTATACCTAAACCTAGTATTTTTTGAGATATTCCATGTTTTATAAGCGGCCATGCTTTTTTTTGACAAACCTGTCATCGTAAACTTCAATAAGTTTTGCTTTTATTAGTTTCGCTTGGAAATAAAATGACTTTTTTAATACAAGAAATGGTTGATATGATTTATGTGCTAGGAGTAAGTGACAAAAATTCTTTATTGGCAATAATCAACATCACCCAGACAGAAGACAACCGTGTAGGAAAACTTTCGATAATCTTATGAAGCATTTTGAGCATCCAAGAAGTGTGGCATATGAGAAGAAAGAAAGGGTGAAACCAGTTTTCCAATAGGAGAATGTGTTTCAAGCAATGCTCCGCGTAACTGAATGTCCCCATGTAAGTGTTCAGCATATTTTTAAAGATTTAGACATTAACAAATCATCCGGGCACAGTATACTTCAAAGAAAAAAGTAAACTCCCCTATTATATACAATTGCACCAAGAACTAAGAGAAAATGATTACGGACTTGGGCTGACATTTTGTGGGTGGGCACAAGAAAAAATCCGAAACCAACGAGAATTTTTTGAAAATGTTCTGTTCGACGACCAATCAACTTTTCCTTAAAAATGAATGTGTTGATGCTCAATTTCAACTACTATGTCAGCCATCAGCACTATGCAAACACACAGCCATGCAAGATGATCCTTAAACGTCAGGGGTGGTATAATTTTCAATTTTGTTATAGGGCCACATTTTTTTAATGCTAAATTAAATGGATAAGTTTATCTGGACTTTTTGTAAAACACTTTAACAAATCTATAAAGGCATATACCAGAACGTGTAAGTGTGGATTATTCCTGTTGAAGCTCACACAAACAATAAATAATTATTTAAATAATGAATTCCCTCAGAGGTGGATAGGACGAGCAGGGCCAGTCAGATGGCCCGCCAGCTCTCCCGACTACATGGAAATAGACTATTTTCTCTGCGGTAACGTTAAAGCAGAGGTCTATCAGACTCAACCTACCACAAGAGCTAATATGCAAGACAAGATACGGGAAGTTTTTCAGGGCATTAACCACCAAATGTTGAGAAATGTTGCCGAATCATTTAAACGTCAGGTGCAAGCCTGTATTGATGCTGGTGGTGGGGGCACATTGAACAATTAACTAAGTAGATAATTAGATTTAGTTAATTATCATAACTGTTACAGAGTTGTTGTTACTTTTAATTAATAAGGTTCTTTAGCAGAGACAGTATAGTGTTTTTTGTTACAGTAGCAGTAATATGTAACTGTTCAATTAATTTTTTTAACCACTCAGCAACATATTTTAATCGATAGAAATTTTTGGTTTTATTAATAGCATGACTGACGGATATTTTTCTAATAATTTCAAAATTATTGTTTTCACTTCTGAAACATGGAATACCTCAAAAAATAGTTCATTTGGGTATAGGCAATGCTTAATAAAACTGGAAGCGCTCTACGAGACGCGTTGAATAGAGTTAGGACTTACAAGGCGTTTGATATGAATGTCTACCACTGTTTCCATCACTCAGTATAATAAAATAGATTTTATCTAAAAGTGTTGTTTAAGTTACGGGAAGCCAAGGTATAATGGCAAAATGGCCAAGAAAAGGAGCTTCTAAAAATCATAAAAAATACAGGGTGTCCGATTTAAAAAAAAATACATGAATACATGTTTATATTGCCACTAATTTATGGCTAAAAATAATTTTAGGTTGTAGCCCTTAGCCCTACAGCCTTTATATTTAACTTTTTTTACAACTCTAATAGTAACGCAGATATTGACCTTTGCCATACTATTTGGATACCCTGGATAATATACGAGCCCTAACAACTATCTACCTATATGTTCGGACGACGTACCAAATGTTGGAAAACAGGTTTTGTCTATTTTAAACTATTTTTTTTGTCTTCTTGAGCAAAAAATCAAGTCAAATACTCTTCACCTGACATAAACTCTGATCGTAAGAATTTCTGTTTTTATTTTGGATAAACCACATAATATAATAACGAAAATACATCATATTTACTGACAAATAAATATTCGGACGCTAATCTTAATTGTTTTTTTTTGTATTATGCATGCACTGATTGATAAATCTAGTGGGCTTTGGGCAACAGGTGTTAGTTTAGGTTTTATCCAACATGTTTTGACATAAATTCACAAGAAAATGGTGCATGTGTGGTGTTGATGTTCGTGGTAAAAGTTCAGGCCTTACGATCACACTTTATCTTAGGTAAGAGTATGTCACTTGATTTTTCAGTCAGGAAGACAAAAAAAATCAGTTTAACATAAGGTAAAATATATTTTTTAATAATTCAGTCATCGTCCCAACATATAGTTGTTAGGGCTCGTATATAATGTAAGAGAATCGAATAAAGGTAATTTATTATTATCTGCAGCTAGCGTTGACTGGTGTCCCACTACAGATTTTTAGGGGTCAGAGGACGCGTTCCGTTTTGCACCTGACTATTTTGGATAAAATAAATTCGATTTTCCAAAACAAAAAATGTTAATTTTTTTCTTTCACCTATTTTGCGACAGACCTTGTATATTGGTTGTGAAATTAGACCTTAGTTTTAAAGAACGTTGTTTTTTGTACCAATCTACAACCTTGAATCCAGATTTGTTTTACTGTCTGCCCCAATGATGTGCTGCAAATCGAAATTTTCCAGGATGTCTGTCAAGCATACAAGCCAGGGTGGTGTTAGGCGGACAAAGTTCAATGTCATCTGTGACCACTTATTGGCATTATGTAGAAAATTTGGGGAGGTGTTTTTCCATGATAATAAGACACGAATTTCAGGTACTAATTAACCTAAATGCAGTAATTAGTCAGGTTTTGCCTAAGCGGACGTTTTTTTACTTTCTCATGTAAAAATCAATAACTCTTTGGGTGTGTTCCAGGCTCTCCAACTATGTGGCTATAGTTTTTCTATCTCAATATTAGAATTTAAGGCCAAAACATAATGGAGCACTTCAGGTCACAATGTACCTCACCTGAGGATTAGGCAAAACTGACAGCCTCCCAAGTAGAGATGCTGATGGTGAGCATCCAGGCTGCAAGATGAACTGCTCCACCACATTTTAGCCCTATAACAATATCATTTGTTACTTACAACAATGTCGGCTAGAGTAATGCGTTCTCCCACAAGAAAAGTATGAGCTAGTAAGTGGCTATTTAAAATAGACAACGCATCCTTAAGGTCATTCTTTGCACGGTTGAAGGCCTGGAAAAAAAGATTGTTATTATTATATACACTGAAACAACTTCTATATTCACTAAAAATGATATTTCTAAGCTAATTTTCTTAATGTCACTGTAATATATTATATAGCCTAATCATATTAGCAAATTTCCCTGAAATAATTGTACAGTCTGGTTTTATTGGCGCACGTTGTTCAAGGGGGTATTTAAAACATGGACGCATGAAATGGGTACACCAATTTTTGTGGGAAAACTTTTTATTCAATCGAAAGTGTTGACATAAACGAAAAAACTCTTCATATAAGATTTTTAGGTATTTATGAAACTTACAAAATGAGACTACACGTAAAAATATCTGACTAATAGCAAAAATGTTATGGCCGAAAAACGAGGCAAAATGCAGGTTTTGGCACTTGGTAATGCTACGATAATTTCACGCAACTACTTGAAATTCTTCAAATCCGTAGGACTCATACTTCTAAATAACAACAACAAAATTGGAATATATTGGTCAAGTAGTTTTTTGAGAATATCTAATTGTTCATTACAAAACACCTGTTTTCCGGCCATTACTACTAGTTTATTGAGCAATATACAGAGTTCGTTCAAAGAGTATTTAATAGCAAAATACACGTGTTTACCGTGCCGATATGAATCACAAATCATTCCGAAAGATAAATGTTATTTATTATGCGAAAAACAAAGGTTGCGTTTTTTTTCTTCTAAACAAATTCAAACATTTCGTATTTGTGAGTAATTGAACAAATGCACTACGATATTCGAAAAACATACGTTACTATACACATTTTAAAACAAAGCGATTGTGTCTATCATCTTTTGTTGCGAATTACTTACAAATACAAAATGTTTGAATTTGTTTAGAAGAAAAAATGTAACCCATCATTTTTTGCATAAAAATAACATTTATCTTCCGGAATGGTTTACGATTCATATCGACAAGGTAAACTGGTGTGTATTTTGCTATAAAATGCCCTTTGAACTAACCCTATATATTGCTCAATAAAATAGTGGTGATGGCCGGAAAACTGGTATTTTGGGATAAACAATTAGAAATTCTCAAAAACGACTTGACCAATGTACTCTAATTTTGTTGTGGTTATTTAGTACGAATCCTACGAATTTAAAAATTTTCAAATATCTGCAAGAAACCATCGTCGCATTACCAACAAGTGCCAAAACCTGTACTTTGCCTCTGCTTTCGGCCTTAACTTTTTTGCTATTATTCTGATCTTTTTACGTGTGGTCTCATTTTGTAGATATGAAAAATACCTAAAAATCTTATATGAAGAGTTTTTCCGTTCGTGTCAGCACTTTCGATTGAATCCTAAATGTCAAATAAAGAGTTTTCCCACAAAAATTTGTGTGCCCATTTTATGTGTCCGTGTTTTGAATACCCCCTTGAACAATCTGCAGCAATAAAACCAAACTTTACAATTACTTCGCAAACCAGGTGTATTTTCGGCTAATATTAGACTTAGCTAAAAAATGATCTTAAATATACTCAAACAGCAAAATTGACATCCAAATAGGTTGAAATGAAGGAAATATTCTAGAGAACGTAAGCTTTTCGGAAAATTTAAAGGAATGTGAGTTTTCTATGGTGATTATATGATTGATTTCATCAAAAATTGTGATTACTGCAGCTAAGCACCTATCAAATATCAACTATACTGGTTACAAAAAAAATGTCCATTACACAATATGTTACCATAAGAAATTAAAAGTTTGTCAGATATAAATAGAGTATTCATCAACTGTTAATGCACATAGACCTTCAATAATATTTTGAAATGTTATATGTTTGCCTTTTTGTTTTTTTAGTTTGTTTCACTTGTTTGTTTTTTCTGTCTTGATGATGCTGTGATGTACATTTCAAATATGTGTGTAATATACAGTCTTCAAGCACTGTTATTTTGAAATAAAGATTTAGTGTTACTATTATACTTGACACCCAACACCGCAAGGTAAAAGGGTTAATGATTATATATATATATATATATATTATACTTGATATTGTAACTTTAGAGTGCATCAGTTAAATTTGATGCAGGATTAATGCAAATTGTATATTATCTCACAACCCAAAGCAGAACCAATATGGTGTGACCTAAGCACATCTGTCTTATACCACAGCTTAAATAACAATCAGCTATGAAGCTCTCGTATCAGTGTCAAAAACGGTCGCCATTTCGATGGAGAATGTCGAATATGAATTCCCCCAATACAACACTGAAATAATTTTTAGTGCTCAGCAGTACCCAGTACACTATGTCATGCCAAAATATTAACATTTCAACATTGCAAAGAATTCTCCGCCGAAATGGCGGAGTTTCATAGCTGATTGTTGTCTAAGCGCCGCCTTGAACTAACGAGACATGAAAATAAAAAGGCAACATGATGAAGGTCAGCGTTTGGAGCAAAACATTATGAAAAAAAAGAAACTTTGAACATATTTGGTTTTGATTTGTTTGTTGAAGATTTATTTGGCATTAATGGTACAATGTCAGGGATCTGAAGTAACACATTTTTCTCATCTAAGCAGACTCTGTCATTGAGGTTAAATAATTCAAGGAATTACAATTGTGTTTTAAAGTAGTAGGTAGGTTTTCTCTCATTAAAATCATATATCTGACAAAAAAAAATTTCAAAACCTGTTGAAAATGGCTGGTATTCCCAACTGAAATGAAGAGAAATTTGACATGTTAGCGCTGTACTTGCAAGTTACACAGAAACGCCGATATTACCTCAGCAAGGTACTTGGCGATGTACTCCGAACGGCAGCCTCATAAAACCCAATTTAGAAAAACAGTATGTAGTTAATTCTATAAAGGCCTTTGAACAACCTAATAGCGGATATGATATTGAAAACAGAAACATTTTACAAGCTGTCTACCAAATCTCTAGTGCATCAGTAAGAACTATAGAACGAGAAATTGGTGTGTCAAAATTAATAGTACGGAGAATGTTAAATAAGAATAAGACATAGAACCATCCATACAAACCTACAATAGTTCAAGGACTTAAGGAGTTTCCAAGGCAAATACGCGTCTGTGAGTTATACTAGAAAGTCTAATGAAATGAAGTTTTAATAAGCACAACACTAATCTTTGGGTTGTGGAAAACCCTCACGACATAGCAGAGAGAGGTCTACAGACCAGATTGGGAACTAATGTTTGGTGTGGGGTCATTCGTGATTTAATCTAATGTCTTTCACCCTTGGATTTCTACCTCTGGGGTCACACAAAGAATGGGATCTATGAATTTGATCCTCCTGCGACAATAGAAATCCTGAGACAAAGATTTTTGAGCACAGTAACATTAACAGAAATACACTAGCTAAGGACAGCCACCAATTGTCAAAATGTCTGGATTCAAATGGACATTATTTTGCAAATCTGTAAATTAATACCCACTTACATAAAATAAAAAAATAAATTTACGACGATTTTTCTGACTTGTTTTTTTAACACACTCATAGTTGGGAATTTGTCACAAAACTTTTGATATGTTGAAAAGTCCATAGCAACGTTAATATTCTATTGAAAATTCAAGGCATTTATGTGTTTTTTTATTCCTTACTCATTAATGTTACTTTCTGACAAACAAATCATTGCCTCCTTAGAAAAAAACGAATACATAACATTATGTGTGATGATATTTCGGTGACACTCCAATCTTTTATGCACTTGTGAGTAGACTGGAAATTTTACACTCTTTTCAAAAATTTAATATGGCAGCCATAAGAAAACTAAAAGTTGATGTGGGTTGCTGGAAAACAAAAGACTATTGAGACATGTTATACATGCTATCTTATTTTTCTTAAAAAAAAGTCAGAAAAATGTAACATTTTGACAGCTTTCAAATAAACCGTTTTGGATTTACTGACATAAAAAAATTCCACCATTTTTGGTTTATCGCTAATAGTTTCTTAACTAAATGATCCTTTTTAAATCTGAAGCTGACTATCAAAAGAACTAAGTTTCCTCTAAAACTCCCCTCATTTAACCTTTGCTGTACATATAACAGGAACAGAGATCCCTGTGCAAGAGATGCAAATCTGGGACACACTGTATATTCATTTACACATTTTTTTAATAAATTGTAATTTTACATTTCTGTCTATTAAAAGTACATCACTATGCATTTTGAGTATTCATAAGGTGATTTTTTAATTTCACCTTAAACATTTTTTAATTCCAATATTATTCAATTTATTAAATTCAAATACTCCCTTTTAGAATACCTATTTGCCACTTTGATAATTATGCAGATGAAAATCTATATTGCCTCCAACTTCGTCATTACAATAACTATTTAATTTTATGAAGTTTTCTAATTGCAGTGGTAGTAAGTGATTATTTGATTTGAAGATCAAAAGAAGTAAATAATATGAAATTTTTTACATTCAATGAATGTTGTTCTTCTAACACAGACTTAATCCTAGCATATTTGTTTTCATTTAAGATGATTCTCATAGCTTTATTTTGTAATTTTGAAAATATGTTCTCATTTGTTGTAAACAACAAGTTTACGATATAAAGAATGAGGTAGAATTATAGTGTATTACTCCCCTGTGGCCCTACTGATATATTTTCAATGCTTGACATAATATTTCCAACTTCTACTTACTAAATAATATTGTAAAACCTTTAATACAGATCCTTTAAAACCCTATTGATGTAATTTCATTAAAAATGTTCCGCTAGAGACTACATCAAATGCCCTTTGGAGTCTAAAAATATTATTACAATACATTCTTTCTCATATATACTTCTTCCCTAGTCTTCCACCACCATTTGGATTACTATTTCTATAAATATTTGTTATCTAAATTTAGCTTGATTTTTTGTCAAAGTTTTGTTTCCTTCAATGATTTGTTCATATATTATCCCTGCGTACAGCTACTCGACAACTGGCAAGACATTAATCAGCCTCATTCTTTTATATAAATCAGAATGTTTTGACACAAGAGTAAGAGACCTTATTTTTATTAAATCTCAATTCTGAGATAGCTTTTCTTAAATCATTAATATTTATTATCCTAAATTGATTCATTGATGAATTATGATATACTTGCAATGAAGATAAGTTAGGATCACTGTTATCAATGGTCTTCACTATTTGATTTATACTGTCTATAAAATAAGTGTTCATTCTTTCTGCTATATATATTTTTTCTGTCACTATCCCATCTTCAAATTTCATTTGAGATAATGCAGTCTTTTTCTTTGGAGAAATATTATTGTTTAATAATTTCCACGTCAATTTACAAATATTTTTATTGCTATATATCAAGTGTCTATTTGGATGGAGAAATATATAAGGCTGATGTAGCCAAACTAGGGATTGACCACAATTTGTCGGTTATACAAATAAACTACATACCTCTTGAGTGTCAGGTTCGACTTTTATGATGCCAAGCACTGGAAACACCCATGCACAGGCTGCTGGCAAGATTTCTCCTTCAGCAAAACCAATCCATTGCAAGATCTGTGATCTGTCATATTCAGTTTTTCCTCTTAGTTGATCGTTGGCTACATAGTATGCAATTGCGTTGCTGTCTTGTAAGCACTTTCCATCGTTTCCTTCGAAAGCTGGCACCTAAAAATACATTGGATGTGAAGTGCCAGTTGGTTCGAAAAAATAATTAATAAAACTTCAAACGGATTTTTGTTTAGTAAACGTACCTTACCGCCAGGGAACTTCTGTTGAAATTCTTTGGTCTTGTTGGTTTCACCAAAAACGAAATTAGTGGCTAGCTTGACATTTTCCTTCGAATACTGAGCAGCGATAAGGGCTTTCGCCGCACGAAAATTGTCAGGGTAGCTGTAGAGAGTCTGCAAAAATATGTACACTATTAGAAATTATGGACATTGTATTACAACAGCAATAAAATTAGAGGGTGGATGGTGATCTGAATACGAAATACTTGAGGAATAAAAATAATACTTACTCCAGGAGCCATTCTTACTACACTCTTCAATTAGAAAGAGTCAGACACAGAAAGAAAGAGAGGTGATTGACACTGACACGTATGTCATTTTTCTTAGTGCTTTTTTGTTCCTTGTTCCTTTATTGGCAGGCACTGCAAATAAGCACAGTCTTTATTAGGGCGCTCACAGACGTAGTTTCTTTCCATCAGGATCGCCTACAATCCTCGAAACCAGAGACCCTCAGAGGTATTATGTAAAAACCCTTAATAACGTAAAAAAAATGACAAAATGTCTTTTTGCAGACTACTTAGTTTTTAGTGTGCAAATACTTCATTCCAAATTTGCTCGCTATTATCGTACAGCTACAAAACGACTTCATAACAAGTGTACTGCAGCTTGTGTTAAGTTAACATCTTGTAGAAAAACCTACGTTATGTCTCAAAAACCTAATAAATGTAAAATAAAACGACGAAATTCACTTCAGCACACTGATGTGTCATTGTCATTCCTAATTTTTCTGTGATGTGGCTTAATTACACAACGCGGGCGCGGTAACACAAAAATGTCACTTGCTAATCAGCTGTTCACCTCAGTAGACGTGAAAGTGTGATGGATACTCGTGAAGTAGGGTATATTTTACATATATCTGCTAATTTTAATATGAATTAGTTTGAATTTGGATACTCCTACGTCTGTGAAGGGCTTTAAGCACAAAACACATAAGTCTGGCATGTCTTCTGATTTGTGTATTTGTGGATATTCCGCTTATGTCACTTGTCCTTGTCATTGTCAAGCTTTTGTGATGGTTCTACTAAAACGTAAATAGTTGAGTATTTGGAAAAATCATTTGCTATTCTTTAAACCAACTACAAGTTTTTGGCAAGAACTGCATTCTGTTACAGCCTGAAAATGGTGGTCAATTTTCCACCGATTCCACAAGAAGTCAAACCGATTGCTCATCTGCTAAAATTAGCTGATGAACATGACGATAGAAACATAGTCGTTGCTTATTATGGTTTGTATGATTTATTAATTAAGGGATTGTGCGATAATATACATTACCAATTATTTGATATACGTTTGCTACACTCGGACCTAACTTTTTTACATATATAATTTCCTTATCAATATTCCACACTTTATAAGTGAAGTGTAGAAAATCATTAATCATAATAATTATCTAATGAATAATATGGTATTAAAGATTGAATGACGACTTCTTAAATTTCTTTTAACTTATGGTGATGGTGATAGTACACTTAACAGAACCACGTATTTAGGGGTTATTGCAGGTTTAATGTGTACACATATACAGGGTGTAAAGTTAGTAGTCGATCAACAGAAGTCAGCTGATAGAGGGCCTCAAAACATATCGAATAAGCCACTATATGCGTGGTCCGAAATTTTATAGATATAAGTGCAATTTTTTGAAATTTCGAAAAAACAATTACAACTAAACCATTAGGTTTCAGGCTGTTTTTTTTTTTTTTGATGAGGTAAATGATTAGTTTTAGCAGTGGTTGTTACTTTTTAACAGAACTAATTAGCAATCAAAGCAAAAAATATTAAATTGGTGTGGATTTTCCACGCTCCATTAATGGAAATTGTGCATGCTGAATATTCCATTTCGGTTAAAGCTGGATTCATCTGTCCATAAGATGCTCTTGAAAAAAGTTTCATTCTCTTCCCACCTTCTCAACATATTCTCACAAAATTCAACCTGTTGTGCATAGTCGCTTGAAAGCAATTCTTGTACTTTTTGTACATGGTAAGGATACATGTTCTTCGAGCGTAGTATTGTGTACACTGAAGTATGGGATAAGTTTCTGCTTTGGACAATGGCTCTGGAGCTTATAGAGAGGTCTCTCTCTGCTGCCTCTATTATATCTTCTATTTCTTCTGCAGGTATCCTTGATGCTCCTAGCTGACCATGAGCACCTAGTATGTGGCACTCCATATACCCACTATGGATAGGTAGCACCATAATAGTAATGCCTTTTTGCATAATCTCGCGGAGAATATGACATGATTCTATTCAGATGTCAAATGATACATACTAATTCCGCGCTGGACCATTGCCTGACGTGTAATTTCCGTCGGACCGAAGATTGAACGCTCCCGCACCTGGAATGCCGAGTTGAATGTCCAAGCTCATTAAGCTGATTTGGCTATTTGCGTAAAAAATCCGCCATTTTGATATTACAAAATATTAATACACGCCACAGATTATACAGATACGACACGTGCTGTCGGTCCCTCAGATCTTCCTGTCGCCAACTGCTTACCACATTTTCCGCTTATGTTCATTAGCGGAGGATTTTTTTCTAGGAGTTGTTATGCTTTATAAGCCTCAAGTCCGAATGTCATATGTCAGACAACAGAATCAAGAAATTTATTTGTGTTATCATTTACCCACATATCTTTTGGCGAGATAATAATTATTATTATTTTTCGAAAAGCTTTTATATTGAATATAACCAAAACAAAAAAAAAAAAAAACAAAAACCAATACTGCATGTTTTTGATAACCCCTAAATTTTTTACACAGTGTCTGTCACCGCTGGTAGTACTCTCTAATACACGCAGTATCACTCGCACTGCTAGGACGAATCTAACAGTACCTTATATGTCAAAATCCATCAAGTCGTTTGGACTGCAGCTTGTAAAATAGAATTTCTTGTTTACATGTATATGATACCCACCTGCGTCAAACATACAGATTTTTTAGGGTGAGGCACTTATTGTAGCAAGCTGTAATTTCCAATTTTTATTCTACATGGATTGAAATCGTTTTTCCAATAAAATGGATAATGAAATAAGACCTCAATTTTTTACCTCCCTCAAAGTTGAGGGATGGAAGAGATTTTTCACAAAAAAATGAATATAAGATGTTTTGCGTTAAATTCTAATTTAGTTCTGTTAAAAAAAAATCACAGCCCTAAACCTAATGGTTTAGTTGTAATTGCGATTGAAAGTTCATTATCCTGCTTTTTTCAAAATTTCACAAAATTGAAAATATCTCCTGAATTATAAAATTTTGTACCTCACATATAAGGGTTCAGTTGATATGTTTTGAGGGCCCTCTATTACCTGGCTTCTGTTGACCCAGTTCTAACTTTACACCCTGTATGTATATATATATAAAGTATTCATACTTAATTGCCTTAACTGTTTGTAGAAAATATCCTTGAATTTCTTAAGTCGGTGATATTGTTGCTGAAATTGTTCTTAAACGACAGTGAAGGGAACACATAGTCGACGAATAAAAAACTGGACCGATGAGGTTCGATTAGGACGGAATTATTTTATTATGAATGCATGGACCATCGAAAGCTCGAGTTTAAGTTATAAGAGTGTGATTATGCAATACTTTGCCTTCTACCCAAATAAATTCAAGGATAATATATATATATATATATATATATATTATTCATAGTTAATTGCCTTAACTGTTAGGAGAAAATATTCTTTAATTTCTCTGGGTAGAAGGCAAAGTATTGCAAAAGTACACTCTTATAACTTAAACTCTCAAGCTTTTCAAGATCTATGTCTTCATCATCTGGAGTAAGTCGGCAAGATTGTTGCTGAAATTGTTTTTAAACAACAGTGAAGGGAACACACAGCGTCGACGTCGTCCCAGTCGAACCTCATCAATCCAGTTTTTATTCGTCGACGATGTGTTCCCAACACTGTTGTTTAAAAAAAATTTCAGCAACAATCTCGCCGTCTTACTCCAGACGATGAAGACATAGGTCTTCGAAGGCTTGAGAGTTTAAGTTATAAGAGTGTACTTTTGCAATACTTTGCAAAGAAATTAAAGGACATTATATATATATATATATATATATATATATATATTTATATACTAAGTGACATATAAATCCGAACACCCAGTTTAAATGGTTTTATTTTAATAAAAGTTGGTGAATGTATTTATCTTACTGTAAATAACAGATGAAAAAATTTTCAGCCTTATCAGTTGGACATTCCGGTTTTTATACTGCTTTTTTTTTAATTCACTAACGCTCTAAAAATGAATATTTCAGCAGCAGTAAAGAATCAACGTTGGCGGATTTTGGTTCTTGACATCCTTTACGATCGGTTACGATGCCTAGAGTACGGAGACCTGTACGATTTCGTCAACCTTGTTTTTTAATGCTGTTCATATTTTCAAGAATTTTGTTGTATGAAATTGTATAGTTTTCAAAAACATTAACGCTTGCAGAAACCTATGCAATATCGTGGATCAACATAAAGTCAGTACACACAGTGCAAGCATCGTAGGGGCTTGCGGCAAAAACAGTTATTTTTAAAACGGCCAAGAGAAAAACGTGGAAAATATTTTCAAGTTTCTGAATCTGAAAAAGTGATATTTCTGTGAATTTCGATATATTAACTTAACAAAAAAATACCTGATCTTTAAATTAGATAATAATCTGAACCTGTTTTGTTTGACAATTTTTGCTGTATCTCTAAAAATAAAGTGGTGGGGGGTATTCAAAGGTGTCCGTGTATCTTCGAGACGGCTAAGCCGTTTTTAACAAACATGAGCTAGTTGAACAGAGCTATTCTTGGGCTACAGATATAATATTTGATGTTTTGTTATTTCACATGTGGCCGCTACTTTTTTCGACATTCCGATGGAAATGGTTGATTTTCTCAAAAAAATTAAATCGGTAGGTATGATTTTTTTTATCACACATTTTTCTTTATAACTAGGAGAACAAATTAGTGTAACATGTGATACATAGTTGAATTCGTAGAAAAAAGATGATATCAGATACAGGGTGTACTTTTGTTCGGGACATAAAAAAATAAAGGATCAAAAACGAAACGTCGGGCATAAAATTTAAAAACACCATAATGTAATGCCAATGAAAAAGTTCCATTAGTTTTTTGATATTTGTTAAAATAAAGTTAGAAAAAAATGAAAACCACTTGTCCAAATTTCAATTTTTCCCAAATACCCCAGTAAGCCCTGAAATTTTCTCAAAGTTTCTCAACAGCATGTAAATATACTAAGTGACATATAAATCCGAACACCCAGTTTAAATGGTTTTATTTTAATAAAAGTTGGTGAATGTATTTATCTTACTGTAAATAACAAGTGAAAAAATTTTCAGCCTTATCAGTTGGACATTCCGGTTTTTATACTGCTTTTTTTTAATTCACTAACGCTCTAAAAATGAATATTTCAGCCGCAGTAAAGAATCAACGTTGGCGGATTTTGGTTCTTGACATCCTTTACGATCGGTCGATGCCTAGAGTACGGAGACCTGTACGATTTCGTCAACTTAGTGAGTTTGATAGGGGCCGTATAGTGGGACTTCGGGAAGCTGGACTTTCTTTTCGGGCAATTGCAGTTAGAGTGCAAAGAAGTGTAGACACTGTGGTTAGGTGTTATCAGGCATGGCTTCGAGAAGGCCGTACGCAAAGAGCAAGGGGCACTGGACGCCGCCGTAGAACAACAGACCGTGAAGATCGCCGCCTAAGATTATTGGCCTTAAGGGACCGTTTCTCCACTACCAGGTCCATTGCAAATGAATGGTTTGCAGAACACGGAAGACCTATTGGCATGCGAAGTGTTTACCGACGAATGAGAAGTTTTGGCATGTTTTCATACCGGCTACACTGGGTCCTCCCTTTAACTCGAGAACACCGACGTAATCGCCTCGAGTGGTGCAGACAACGGTCACTCTGGGATCAGGAATGGAACAGTATTGTCTTTAGTGACGAGTCTCGATTTTATTTAGGCATGCACGATGGTCGTGCCAGGGTTAGAAGGCGACGTGGTGAAAGGAGGAATCCACAGTTTTTTGTCGAAAGACATGTTCATCACACACTGTTGGAGTTATGGTTTGGGGTGCTATAGCTTATGGTTCCAGGTCACCTTTAATCTTCATCAGAGGTAACATGAACACGCAGCGTTATATCCACGAAGTTCTAGAACCCCATCTTTTACCCTATCTTGACACCCTGGCAGATCCAACTTTCCAACAAGATAATGCCCGACCACATGTTGCAAGAGTCACAATAGACTTCTTTCAACATAATGATGTCACATTGTTACCATCGCCACCAAGATCTCCCGACTTATCCCCAATTGAGCACGTGTGGGATATGATGGGTAGGAGATTGCTCAATTTGCAACGTCCTCCTCAGACTCTAGAAGCACTTCGAGAGGAGTTGGTGGTTGCCTGGAATGAGATACCACAGGAGGATATTGACCACCTGATCAGAAGCATGCCTAGGCGCGTTGGAGAATGCGTAGCACATCAGGGTGCATCCACACATTATTAAAGGTCAAAGGGCTTTAAAGCAGTGCAATCATTTTGAAATTTTTATCATTTACTTATTATGCTTCATTAAGTACTTATACAAAATTTTATTAAAATAAAACCATTTAAACTGGGTGTTCGGATTTATATGTCACTTAGTATATATGCACGTTTCATATGGAAATTTGTTTTTTTAAAACACCATTTTCCAGCAATACCTTGTCGTTAAACCTGCATAACCCTTAGATGAGCAGCTTCTTCCAGCTTGACCCCAAATACCGTTTTCTAAGACATTTAGTTACCTGAAGCCTTTTCATCGTTTAATCAGTCCCGGAATGCAAAATTTGATTCCTCCTGGTCAATAGTACGGGCCTTTTTGACCTGTTTTAATCTTAATCTTTCTCAACAGCTCGCATGGCCGCTTGTAGTCTAGCGCTGAGGGTTGTGCCGGGTAAGAAGAGCCCCGAGACAGCAAACTTGATCCGTGCCATTTTGGCTTGGCTGGAGGTTACAAAGGAGGAACACCGCGAGAATGATGGCATCACCAATACGACAGTCGCCCAGGCCATTATAGAAAATTATGCCCTAAAGCTGTTTGAAAATGGAGACGAGCAAGACAAGGCAGACATTTTTAATAAGTAGGTAGCATTAGAGTAACAGTAGTCTATCGGAATTAGAGAATAATCGTGCGAAATTGGAAGAAAAAATGTTATGCATTGCACAGTTTTTATGTTATTGTCAGTCGATGAAAACTGTTGGAATAAAAAATTATTTAAGGTGTCTGGTACCCGTCATAACATATGTCCTAAAAGTTTTGGCACAAAATTCATTGGCATCAATTTTGATAAACACAAAATTATATTAAGTTGCATTTGGAAACAAAGGTTTGTTTACTTAATTTACCGTCAGTTGACATTTCTTTATTTTGAACACTTCACTTTAATATGTGATATAAATTAGAAATAAGTAAAAGTATCTACAAGTTGGTTGGGCGGGTACCCAAAGCTGAATACCATGTTTGAATCTCTCGAAAAGTGGAAGACCGCGTGCATTTACTTCGTAGAGGTTAGAGAGATTGGTCAGAAGAGCAAAAAATCAGGTTGAAATGTCAACAAGATCTTCTAAGAGTACGATATTGTTGGAATTGAGGGGAAATGGTTTTAAATATCGAAAGAGACTAGAGTGTCCCAAATGCTCTCAAGCGCAACTCTGTATACCAAGATGCTGTCATCAACTGAGGCGGGCACACTTTGCCAATGAAAAAATCATTATTTTAGATGATGAAAACTATTCCACTTTGAGTAATTTTGAAATGGAGGGAAACGGCGGATTTTATACGGACAACGTAGAGGAATGCCCTGACAATGTTGGATACAAACGTAAAGCGAAATTTGCGGATAAAATTCTTGTATGGTGCTCAATTTTTAACAGCGCTGTATCCCAACCTTTTGTGGGAAGAGTGACGGGTGAGACTTTGAATAGTCAGAACTATATTGATAAATGCCTTTCCAAATTGCTTCAGTTTGTCTACAAACATCGTGCTAATGACCATATCATGTTATGGCCAGACCTATCATCATGCTATTATTTAAGAGATACCCAAAAACTGGCTTCAACAACAGATACCTCTTGTTCACAAAAACGATAATCCTCCAAACTTGCCGCAGGCTCGTTCAATAGGGGGTTTTTCGGCTCTACAGTCTAAGAAGGTTTATCATGGAGGCTGGGAAGCCCAAGATGAACAATTAAGACGACAAATTTGAGAAAAACTGAGAGAAATTGATCTGAATTCAATCCAGGACCTCATGAGAGACATTCGAAGAAAGATGCCTCTGGTAGTGCAGAATGGGCCACCCACATAATTCGATACTATAGTGAAGTTGTGTGTTGAGTTGTCATTTATGTTAACTAGTTGTCGCTACCAATGAATTATTTACACTTGTGGCACCTATTTCTATGATCAGACTAAAGGTATTTTAAGCTTATTCCTGAACTTGAATAGTTCCAATGTCGCCACCCAGGGAGCTCAAGTGCAGCTAGGTATAATATATACTAAGTTACATATAAATCCGAACACCCAGTTAAAATGGTTTTATTTTAATAAAATTTTGTATAAGTACTTAATGAAGCATAATAAGTAAATGATAAAAATTTCAAAATGATTGCACTGCTTTAAAGCCCTTTGACCTTTAATAATGTGTGGATGCACCCTGATGTGCTACGCATTCTCCAACGCGCCTAGGCATGCTTCTGATCAGGTGGTCAATGTCCTCCTGTGGTATCGCATTCCAGGCAACCACCAACTCCTCTCGAAGTGCTTCTAGAGTCTGAGGAGGACGTTGCAAATTGAGCAATCTCCTACCCATCATATCCCACACGTGCTCAATTGGGGATAAGTCGGGAGATCTTGGTGGCCATGGTAACAATGTGACATCATTATGTTGAAAGAAGTCTATTGTGACTCTTGCAACATGTGGTCGGGCATTATCTTGTTGGAAAGTTGGATCTACCAGGGTGTCAAGATAGGGTAAAAGATGGGGTTCTAGAACTTCGTGGATATAACGCTGCGCGTTCATGTTACCTCTGATGAAGATTAAAGGTGACCTGGAACCATAAGCTATAGCACCCCAAACCATAACTCCAACAGTGTGATGAACATGTCTTTCAACAAAAAACTGTGGATTCCTCCTTTCACCACGTCGCCTTCTAACCCTGGCACGACCATCGTGCATGCCTAAACACAATCGAGACTCATCACTAAAGACAATACTGTTCCATTCCTGATCCCAGAGTGACCGTTGTCTGCACCACTCATGGCGATTACGTCGGTGTTCTCGAGTTAAAGGGAGGACCCAGTGTGGCCGGTATGAAAACAAGCCAAAACTTCTCATTCGTCGGTAAACACTTCGCATGCCAATAGGTCTTCCGTGTTCTGCAAACCATTCATTTGCAATGGACCTGGTAGTGGAGAAACGGTCCCTTAAGGCCAATAATCTTAGGCGGCGATCTTCACGGTCTGTTGTTCTACGGCGGCGTCCAGTGCCCCTTGCTCTTTGCGTACGGCCTTCTCGAAGCCATGCCTGACAACACCTAACCACAGTGTCTACACTTCTTTGCACTCTAACTGCAATTGCCCGAAAAGAAAGTCCAGCTTCCCGAAGTCCCACTATACGGCCCCTATCAAACTCACTAAGTTGACGAAATCGTACAGGTCTCCGTACTCTAGGCATCGTAACCGATCGTAAAGGATGTCAAGAACCAAAATCGGCCAACGTTGATTCTTTACTGCGGCTGAAATATTCATTTTTAGAGCGTTAGTGAATTAAAAAAAAGCAGTATAAAAACCGGAATGTCCAACTGATAAGGCTGAAAAATTTTTCACTTGTTATTTACAGTAAGATAAATACATTCACCAACTTTTATTAAAATAAAACCATTTAAACTGGGTGTTCGGATTTATATGTCACTTAGTATATGATCGCAACTTTATTTTTTGTCAAAATTTTGTTTTATTCAATGAACTCAATGATCTGTTCGTATATTATCCATTCGAACAGCTTCTCGACATCTGGCAAGACATTAATCGGTCGCATTATATTGAAACAATCATTTAGAATCATTTTGTCGTTCCTACAATTTATTGTAGGACACCTTTATGGCCTCTTCGATTTTCGTAGTCTTTCCTCTCCTGCAGAAGGGCTGAGATATCTCTAGATTTTTACTGTTCTGTGTCAGCGTCAGCGCTCTCCTATTGTGAGGCTTTGTTTTCTTTTTGAATTGTAGGAAATTTGTGACATAACCTCGAAATAGAGCGCTGACATGGAAGAGTAGAAAACTGAAAATCAAGGACGCCATAAACGCGTCCTACAATTGTAGGAACGACTGACGATACGGCCCTTAGAATACTGATGCAAACACGTAGTTGAAAAAAAGCGACCTCAACAAGTATCTCATTTAAAAATTCATTTTTCAGAAATACGGTGAAGACATTCTACACAGCCGGTATCTTAATGGACGTCCTAGAGCAGTTCGGCGAATTGTCGGAGGATATTCGCGAGAAGCGGAAGTACGCAAAGTGGAAGGCAGCGTACATACATAATTGCTTGAAGCGAGGTGAACAGCCGCTGTCGGGCCCCCCTAGGCCTCCATATATCAACACAGGCTCTTTGAAACGTAAACCTATGCAGATGAACTATAACATTGAATCTGAGGAACCCCCTGATGATCGTAAGTAATTTGCTTTATGCATGTGTGCTCTGTATGAACTGTGGAACACGATTTATACAAAAGGTACTTTAAAAATTTTGCAATACGCTACTTCTCCATCCACCAAAAGGCAAAAGCTTCATTTTCACATCCGGAAACAGTGCAAAATCGCAGGGAGCAAGATCTGGACTGTAAGGAGGGTGCTCAATAAGTTTCAGTTCAGTAGTGGTCAAATACTCGGTGCAGGCTTTGGCGCGGTGAGCTGGAGCGTTGTCATGTTGAACGTACCAAATGTTCATTCTTTACTTTGACCGCAGGTCTTTCATAGGACTCTATGACTTTAGGCAGGCACTGTTCCATGTACCACTTAGCTGTCATTGTCTTCTGTGTGTCCAAAACGACACGCCCCACTCCACAATCCCAGTCGTATTGAAAAGGATAGCTATCGTTGTTTTCATCAAAGATACAAACTTTGTTTTGAGCCTTGGTCGGCACATCGTAATAATAGAGCCACGTCTCGTCACCTGTCAGGATGCCGAGATTGCCCCTTATCAAACATTTTCAGCCTCTTTCGGTACCAGGTCGTACGACGAGTCTTCGGCTCTTCGTCAGACTAAGCCGTACCCAGAGTACCCTTGCGTGTAAATGGTCATACAGAATTGCTGGTGCATGAAGGTGTAAAGTCTCCTGTATCTGTTGGTATGTCATTCTCCGGTCTTCGTCAAGCATTTTCCTCGCAGCAGTAATGTTTTCCTCTGTTACTTACGTTCGCGACCTTCCTTCCCTCTCAACGTCCTCCAGAGTGAAATTACCCCTTTGGAATTCTCTGTACCATCTGAATATAGTCGTACAATGAGGACAATCATTCTTGAATGCAAGCGTCATTTCTTCTAAGCACGGGTCTATGCTTAAACCACGCGTAAAGTTATATCGTAAAACTGGACATGTCTCAACATGCAGCCTCCTGCGTCCTTTTGTTAAGTCATATTGCAAAACTTTTATAGTACCCTTTGTAGGGGATAATTTGTGATCACATTCGCTTTGACTATCATGACTGTTTGCACCATTACGGAGGCGTTGTCTGAATAATTTTCTGAGAATTTAGAATTCAGATTTTCCATGGAGTTTTTAGTAACTTTTGTATAATAATTAGCTATTTGAGTTTATAATAAAATTCGTCAAACTTAATACTGATATAATGGAATGCATGGCAACAAATAATAGTCAACGATACCAGCAAATTCAACATCAGTCATTGTCATCGTATATCATAGAAAAACTTTGTTTTTCATTTAAAATTGTTAAGTTACCTACCTAGTTGTGATAAATATTGAATTCAGGAAAGAGAGAAATAACAAAACTGTATCACCAAAATGGGAGCATTGCAATACCTACTGCCCGGTTGTTTAATGCGTATTTGAAGAAACTGGATCTGTGTCTAATATTTGCCGTAACAGCCATCGACCAGTTAGAAATAAAGCCGCAGAAATAGCAGTTTTGGGACACGTATCACTTGACAACACCCAAAGCACTTCTTCAGGATTTACACGCTCAATAGTACAAAGAATTTTTAAAGACAATAATTTTCACCCGCACAAGATAAAACTTGTCCACGAGTTTAATGAAGACGATTTTGGTAGAAGGTTGGAGTTTTGCGAATTAACGTCCCAACGTTATTCAATATTTGTTTCTCGGATGAGTGTACGTTCTATTTGCATGGTGCAATATCCTGAAAAAATCATATTGTAGGACCCTTCTTTATTCTTGGGAACTTGACGGGCGAGACGTACTTGGACATGTTAGAAAATACAATAGTGTCACGAATTACCGAAATGGTATGAAATTACGTTAATATATATACAGGGTGACTTCGAAGTTGAGTCATTTATTTTAACAGTGAGTAGATCTGATCAAAAGAAATGTTTTTTTCCTTTACCATTTTTCTGGTAAAATTAAAGTAACAAAGTTATAGCCCTTTGGAAGTTTGAGTACCGCCCTGTCTCAATAATAATATTATGTGCTCGTGTTTGGCGACAACGGATATAATTCGCCTTATCGGTTCATCGCATCGGAAACAAAAAAGTGAAAGAATTTGGAACGATGTTTTTACAATTATTTCATTCAGTTGTATACAGTCAGTGTCAGTCGGTAGTGGATAGTAGTGTCTGTTGCGTGGCTCAAACGAATTAAAAAATGGCACATGTTTATGCGGATCGGTTTCCCAATCGAGTGCAACCAACCCCTCGTGCCTTTGTTAATGTAGTACAACGGGTTCGTGAATCATTTGACTTAAGACCTCACATATGGACGGCATGCCGGTGCTCCAAGACCTCACGATCAAATACAGGTCCGCACTGAAATACTTGTCGGGAGGATACTTTATAAATCAAGGTAAATTTTTTTTTTATTTTTTTTTATTTTTACACACATATTTTGGTTTATCTTCCTTCTACAATCATTATCTGAAAATTAATGACTCAACTTCAAAGTCACCCTGTATATATATATATATATATATAGCACATAAGCGTTTGGACACTGCTTACTGTTAAATAGTGATATTGAAAAAATTATGAATTGGTTAAATTCCAATAAACTTAAATTAAACACTAATAAAACAAAATGTATGTCAATAGGGAAACATTTAGGTGACAATACAATTAGGCTCATGATTAATGATGAAAGAAAGTAGTCGAGTCATTTAAATATCTTGCTACGAGGGAAGTTTTGCATATGGAAATAAAACAACACGGTAGGTAGTTTTAAATGACTTTATTGTTTTTCGAAGTAGTCTCCACGAAGATTAATACACATCTTCATGCGCTCGAAACAATTTTCGAAGCACTTATTCCACTCGTTTGCTGGCAGATCCAAAACGGCATTTTTGAATGCGTCAACTGCTTCTTCTGGTGACTGGAACCTTTGACCACGCAGTCTGTTTTTAATTTACGGGAAAGTAAAGAAATCTTTAGGACTTAGATAGGGACTATTTTTGGGATGGTCCAATAATTCCACGTTTTCTTCCGTTAAATACTGCCTTGTTTTTTGGGCTGTGTGCGAGCTTGCATTGTCTTGGTGGAGGATGATTCTTCTTTCGGGGTTGATTTTTCGAAGCTCAGTGATGACTCTTCGCAAACAAATGGTGATATACCAATCCGCAGTAACAGTTCTTTGCTCCAGAGGAATTGTTGCAATATGACCCGCTTTTGACACAAATGTCGCGACCATCTTTTTCGAAACACTTCTAGAACGGATGACTTTTGTTGGCTTTTCTTCATCTTGGAACACCCAAACAGTCGACTGTCGTTTATTTTCTGGTTGATAACAGCAAATCCACGATTCATCACCACTAACAATGCTGTACACATTTTTTGAGTTTCCGGAATTGAAACGGTCAAGCATTTTTTGACACCAATTAACCCTGGCTGCTTTCTGCTCTTCAGTCAACAGGTGGGGTATCCAACGAGAAACTAATTTTCTTACTCCTAATTCTTCATGTAAAATTTTTTGAATTGAGGTCTTTGAGATCTTCAAGGACGCCTCAATCTCGCGATATGTCACATGTCTATCTTCAATGATGAGTTTGCGCACAGCATCGACGTTGTCCTGGGTGACTGCCGTTTTTTGGTGCACCCACCCTGGGATCGTCGCTAAGACTCACCCGTCCACGTTTGAATTCTCCATACCAACGGGAAATTGTCGACTGATGTGGCGCTTTGTTGCCGAAAACAGACAGTAACTCAAAAAGGCATTCTTGTTGCGATAATTGTCTCTGAAAGTTGTAATAAATTATGGCGCGAAAATGTTCTCGGTTGAGTTCGATTTTTCTAATGACTTGGTGACACTTAAAAATTCACTGTAGTGAGAACACTGCACGTATTGTTGTCAAACTTTGAATTTACGTTTACTAAAAAGTGAGGTTAAGATTCAGTACTGACGTTCGATCCGCGCGGCAGACTATGTTTCTATATGCAAAACTTAAAAGACATCCCTCGTATATATGTGATAGTAAGCTACTGTTTCATGAACATTATGGATACATTATTTCAAAAATATCGAAAAAAATAAATTACTTCTATAGAGTTTCCCATAATCTTAATATGTATTCCAAAAAAAATTGTGTATAACACTATAATTCTTCCCCATTTTTTATATTGTTCAACCATCTTGTTTACAAATGAAAACATATTTTCAAAATTACAAATTCTAGTAAATAAAGCTATGAGAATCATTTTAAATAAAAACAAATATACTAGTATTAAGTCTATGTTAGAAGAACTGCAGTGGTAGGATGTGAAAATTTTCATATTTTTAGTTCTCGTTTTCATATTTAAATTCATTTCATTTACTGCCACCACATTTAGAGAACTTCACAAAATTAAATAGTCATTATCAACTACGAAACTAGAGGCAGTATAGATTTTCATCTGCAAAATTGTAATAGTAGCATCACTAGTAAATCTATATTTCAAAAGGGAGTATTTGAATTTAATAAATTGAATAATGATATTAAACAAAGTTCGGATTTAAAAATGTTTAAGGTGAAATTAAAAAATCACTTTATGAATAATCAAAATACATAGTGACGTAATTTTAATTTTAATTTTAATAGACAAGAATGTAAAATTACAGAAAATGCATAGAAGGAAAATATGTAACCGAATCATTATACAAAATTGACATTGTAACATTAATGCTGAATAAATCTTCAACAACATCTTCTATCCGCAGAAATAAGGAACGACAGCGAAACAAGCACGGTGACCCCAATTACGCCGGATGAGAAGCCGAGCAGCCCCCCTAATTTCGAGCAGTTGCCGCCCCCGGGGGCCCAGGAAGGAGCGCCAGCGCCGCAACCTTCGCCGGTCTCACCAGGGCCTCTCCTGCCTTCTGCCGTCCCAGTGTATCCTGGAGCAACAGGCTCGGATGGTACTGCTGGCCAGGCAGGTTCTAACGGGACTACGGGTGGATATCAGCCTACTCCAGAGGTAAATAATGTGCATAGGATTTTATCTACAGGAATGAACTAAGGACAATTATCTAAGGATGGTATCGTCAGTCGTTATAGCCCAGGTTACAGGTATTTTGTATAAAAAAGTTTAGCAGTTTTAAATGGCAGGGGCTTCTTTCTAATGACAAATACATAAAAAGATACAGCCAGATATGCGTTGTTTTTTATAGTCAACAGGAAAAGCCAAAAATTCAGTATTTTGCTTGTATAATTTTCAAATTAAACTTTATAAATAATCTCACTATAGATTTTAGAGCATAAAAAGACCTTCAATTTTGTTTTTTATGAATTAAAATCGATAAACAAATAAGCTAAATACGGGGCTTTTTAGCAATATTAAATAAATGTGTATAACTATTGCAATAACAGTTGTAAACGGCTAAAAATTTGTGAGAATCAGGGCATCATTGGTGTTAATATACAGGGTGTTTTCAAAGTTGAGTCAGTCATTTATTTTAACAGCGTGTAGAACTCGTCAAAAGAAGTTGATATACCAAAAATCACCTATATCAAAATTGCATAATAAGAGAGTTAGTTTACATTATTAAAACTAATTTAAAAGAATCATTTCAAGTTGATTGATTACCGTTTTTACAAAAAGTGTTCAAAATTGTCCCCATTTGTTCGATTAACGTAAAATTTTGTTCGGCGAATCCACGACTCTTTACAAGCTTCGAAAATAAAATCCTGGTGTCCACTAATTAAATCACAAGCATTTTCTGTGCGCTGTTGAAGTTCTTCCAGTGTATCTACTGTTCCATCATAAAACCCCAACTCTTTCAAATAGCCCCACAGAAAATTGCAAGGCGTTAAATCAGGAGAGCGAGCAGGCCAAGAAATGGATCCATTGCGCCCTATCCATCTATTCGAAAACTGATTATATATACTTTATTTTAACAAGTTGATCTGGATAGGTGGTTAAAAAAAACCTTCTACGACCAATAGCAGCCAAGATAAAAATTGTTTTTTGAACATTCATATCTCCTTTGTTTATAAAGATTAAGACTCGAAATTTGCACAGAGTTTAATCAAGGATCCTAGCTCTAGCCCGATTTATTTTTTGAAATTGAGTCTTCAAATCGGAGCGCCCTATAAAATGTTGCATTATCTCGGCTTCTAAACAACGCAGAACCTTCCTTTTTTTAATTTGGGGTGACTCGTCAAAATAATGACATCTGGCACATTTTCATTTTCCCTGAAGATCTGAAAATCCCGGAAAACTTAACACGTATTCTTCAAAATTAAATTACTATGGAATAATAATACATGAATAATTTACTTTTACTCTCAGTCTAATAAAAATCAACATTTTTTCTACGTACCCTCACATGAAAATATCAGGAAGAAATTATGAAGTGTGATTTGATTTAAAAAAAAGTACAACATGTCTGTCAAGACCACTTTGAAATGAGTATATCACTTTACTGTTTATTTATGATTATTAGTTATTATATTATTTTCAAGCTCATTTCACTGTACACGCGGCATTTGGAGGACAAATATTTATCAGATAATATTATAGATCACCTATTTCAACTCAGCGAGGGCAGCTGTGAGCTACTATAGTGTCACTTACCCCCCTAAAAAGGCGTCAAGTTGGTTGACCCTGTACTGCATTATGTTATTATACAGGGTGTTTCAGTTTATTGTTGCATAACTTTAAGATTCGATAGAACTTTTAAAATTGATGCACAAAGTCTATATAAACATGGGTCGAAAAATGCGTGGCTTCCGAAATACAGGGTGTTTAAATTTACTTTCTAAAATAGTTTTTTTTTTAAATATTTGATGTATAACAGTGAAAATTGGTATACAAGGGTTTTTTGGTACGAAAAAACGAACCATGGGCATAGTTTTACTGTAGCCGCTAGAGGGCGCTCTCTACTGTACCTGTAGTGTATTAAAAAGACCGAAATTTTTTTCTTAGTGCAATTTTTTGCTTTTTGAATAAAAAAATTGATTCTTCCCACTTTTCAACATAAAAAAGCTCTCTTGTGAATTTACGTTATAGTTAACCGTTTTTGAGATATTTCGATTTTTAAGGTTCGATGCATTTTTAATTATTTATGATAAAATAACGTTAAAAAGTCAGTATCTCGATAATTTTTAGAAGTAGGCTGTGCCTGCAAATATTTTTGAAATTGAAAGTATGCAGTTCGGGAAAGACATTTTCAGCATGAATTTAGTGTGAACGTGTGGATTGGTATCTACCGTAATCGACTATTTGGACCCTACCTTTTGCCTGCAAGGTTAAATGCTGCGACCTTCTTGGAATTTTTAAAGGCTGAACCTGCAAATATGTGGGATGATGTTATGTTAGATTTAAGAAGATTGGCCTGGTTCCAGCTTGATGGTTGTCCAGCTCATTATTCGAGAAACTGGCTGGACGAAAATTATCCAGAAAGATGGATCGGCCGTGGAGGACCAGTCGCCTGGCCTCCACGATCCCCTGACCTAAATCCAGTAGATTTCTTTGTGTGGGGATTTCTAAAAGAAAAATTGTACCAGACTCCCGTAACCACAAGAGATATGCTAATAGACAGAATCAGGTATGCATATGATGAAATAAGGCATTATTTGAATAATGCTATACCACGTTCGATCATTCGTAGATGTGAATTGCGTATTGAACAATTGGGTTTACATTTCGAGCAACTACTTTAGATTTTGTATTTTTGTCCTAACTATCCAATAAATAGCATTTTAGTTGTAAATAATTAATTTAATTTGTTAAAACATAATATTGGAAAATTAAACAAATAAATATTCTGTTTTTTGTGTTTATTTGGAGTTAGGAATTATTGCTGTGTTTAAAAACACAATCTAAACGATCATCTTAATTACTTGTAATACCCAATTCGAAATGTAAAAAAAATATTATTTTCCCATAAATAATTAAAAATGCATCGAACCTTAAAAATCGAAATATCTCAAAAACGGCTAACTATAACGAAAACTCACAGGAGAGCTTTTTTATGTTGAAAAGTGCGAAGAATCAGTTTTTTTATTCAAAAAGCAAAAAATTGCACTAAGAAAAAAATTTCGGTCTTTTTAATACACTACAGGTACAGTAGAGAGCGCCCTCTAGCGGCTACAGTAAAACTATGCCCATGGTTCGTTTTGTCGTACCAAAAAACCCTTGTATACCAATTTTCACTGTTATACATCAAATATTGTTCGAAATATAAAAAAAAAACTATTTTAGAAAGTAAATTTAAACACCCTGTATTTCGGAAGCCACGCATTTTTCGACCCATGTTTATATAGACTTTATGCAAAAGTTCTATCGAATCTTAAAGTTATGCAACAATACACTGAAACACCCTGTATATGTCAACGAAATTTTAGAAAAGTAACACCTTTATAAAATTAGGTTACTTTAAATTTCGACTTCGAATGCGTTTTTGTTATTTCAGATTGAGAATGATACTGAAAATCTGATAAAATATAAACTAGTCGATGAAGCTGAAATTCGGAGTAAACCCTCATAAGTTTGACTGCCAAAAAGCCGTGCAGAGCATATGAGAAAACGCGTGTCGCAGGATGCTTAGACGACTTGTTAAAGAATGATGTTCCCTCCACCTCAAGTTGGCAATCAGCCGAATTCATTCAGTGTGACTCAACTTACAAAAAAATCTAAAACACTAGTAGATCCACTGCTTGAAGATTATACTGTATCTGTAGCAGGTGATCATGACATAGAAATTAAACAAAAAAAAGCGAACCTTGCATTTCTATGCTTGTATCTGTAAGTAAGCCATTACTAGGGTATTAAGTTCACAGACCAATGTACAGTAAGGCTTCACTTTATGTGCAGGTGTAACTCTGCATTTTAGAATGCATTTAGTACCTTCACGTTTCAACTGAACATAACCAATAGCATATTCACAATACGAATATCTACCTGCCCTGGAAAATATCGTGTCATATTCGCAAATCTGTTCTCATATAAGGCATCGACATTAATTTGTTTAAAACCTGAGTAGGGTATCGCACATTTTACAGCTAGTTGTGATAGTGTAGCAGTAGGCATACATCCTTACTTCCAAAGTTGTACACCTTTCATTTCCGCTTCTTGTATGTGATGGTTTTCAAGAAATAAACTCCATCACTGCATAAATGTCAATTTTGAGCAAATTGTCACTTGACCCTTTTACAAATCCGGCTTTCATAATGGTACGAACTTACGCAGTACTCAATAGTTATTAACTAGAAACCACGTGGCCGAGCACACAGGTGTGTCTTATGAATTGTCTATACAGGCTTTTTCAGAACTGTGGGATCAAACTTGTAGGGGTTATTCTGTGTAACAGTACAAAATATTTGAGTATAGGGACCCATATCCGGCGCTTGTGCGGAGTTATCTTTAAAAACGATAACAGAGATTGTCTTTTGTAGCTGCATTCCATATCGTCTTAGTCGTGCTATCGTATATTTGTGAAGTTTGCAAGAATTTAACAAAAATTAATTGTTTCTAATGGTAAACTTTACCAATCAAGAATTGAACGATATGCATTTGGCATACGGAGCAACAAGAGCGTTATCCCGAACGACAGCATCCGGGATACAAAAAGTTTATTGCTATTCATTCACTGACTTGTCGGTCCTCGTCAAAGAAAAACAATTTGATGTATTTGCCCTCACTGAAACATGGCTCACTGAGATGGTTCCATCAGATACTTTGTCTATAGATGGTTATACATTTCATAGGAAGGATAGAGACAGTAGGGGTGGCGGAATAGGTGTGTATATAAATGATGATATAAAGTGTGAACATATTTCTATAACTGATTATATTGGAGATGATCCATCAGTAATTGAACAATTTTGGTTGAAACTTCAATTCAAGTCGTCCTCAGTTGCCTTAGGATTGTTGTACAGACCTCCTAAGGCTAATCTCAATTCTGTAGTTGAAACTCTGGATACACTTTTATCGCATTTGTCTACTGTTTACGACCATATTATCATATTGGGTGA